TTTTTTTTTTTTTTTTTTTTTTTTTTTTTTTTTTTTTTTTTTTTTTTTTGAAGTTTTGATGAAAGAATATGTTACGCAGTGCTGTAGAGGCCCTTGCTAACTTTCCGCTATCGGTGAGAACTAAAATCAACGTAAGAGTCAAACAGCTCAATGGAAACGAATTTATCGTTGCGAAAATAACTCAAGTTTAGCTCACAATAATCGTTCCGCTCCTCATCAGTTGTAAATTTTATCATTAATGCCAATTTCTTAAGGTACAATGAATTAGTATTGGAGCGCAGATCAAAAACATTATTCATACACCGAGAAAAAAGATTGGTAGAGTTTATCACTCCGTCAACTCAGTGTCAGGTCTACTAGTAGAAAGGTAAACGTTACTATAAACTGGTACAGGTAACCATTCCTCTAGCAGAATCGACTTTGAATTCACGCTGTGTAAAATATAGCGTGAAGGAATGGTAAATTCTACCAATCTTTTTTCTCGGCGTAGTACCTTTACGGACCGAGGAGCCGAGCTATGAGATCAGTAAATGGTCAACCCAAGATAAAAGGACGCATCAACCTAATAAGGATATATAGAACTATCCAAGGATGAATGGCTATACACGCAGAGATATTTAGAATTATTACTTAGAATCCTCTTGCGTCGAAGAGTTTTGAAAGATGACTAGAAGAGACTTTACAACGCCGTAGTGAAAACTATTTAAATATATGGATGTGAGGTTTGTCAGCTGAAGGAACGGACCTAAACTAGGTTGAGAGCAACGAAGATGGGTTTTCGGAAGCGGTCAGCAGGAATTTATAGATAGAGCGAGAGCGCGTCAGATCATGGAAGCGGAAAATAACATCAGATTCGATGTCATCACCGAAGTCTCCGGTCGTGTCAACCGGATGACAGAAGAAAGGCGGCCAAAAAAGATGCATGATTGGGTCACACTCAAGATGAGGAGAAGGATACGTATAGTGGTGACAGAAGGTTTTCTAAGAAATTAGGGAGAGCCAACCGCCTGAAAATCTCATAGATAGAACAGGAGGAGATTGTGACGGTAAGGTGTCGCAGAGCGCGATGAAATCGGTTTTTATGTATTCATAATAAATTGATCTCACGGGAAAGTGGGATTTTCTCAGCTGAAAGATCATTCAACATTTGCCTAAGATATTATTCCGACCTAGGAAAAATATTGTTTCCTTTCCAGTCTTAAGTTACTATACAAAAAATGTCAATTCCAAGCTTTTTTGTAGAGGGAAGTAGTACCTCCTCCTTTCCTTATCCCAAATATATAATTTAACTTAACCGATATTGCGCTCATGAGACTTTAAAAAACTATAAAATTAATCGAGTTTTTGATGAGAAATATTAAGAGTTATCAAAGTAGGTACCTAGTTTAGTTTTTTCCGTTCTCTGAAAACTTGGCTCTCTGCTATTCAAAGACATTGAATAGAGTGCTATCATACGCCCTCTCCTTTTTCAACCAAAGGAGTGCGAAATCAGTCAAGCACAGCAAAAAGGCTGCGAATAAACGTAAGATTTGCACGACTGCTGTGATAAGTTGAAGAAACAAGGAGGTACCTAGTCGGGAGATCATGAAACGATACGCTCTTTGACGGTTAGGAGTCGGTGGATCAAAGGAGTTTAACTTGTTTCAGTCGAAAGTTAAGTTCAATATAGGCGTTAATCAACCCCCTCCACGCTTCCTCGCCGTGAACGGATCGGTGGATGGAGGCTAAAGCCGATTAATTAGTTTAATCTAACTTGGAATTTATATTTCTTGAAAATTATGTCTCTGAAACTTGGGGGTAACTCGCTCCGATAGGCAAGGGGAGCCAGTCTTTTTCCTCGCGTTAAAATACACCGGAGAGAAACTTAATCGAGAATTTGTGCCATATAGCAAATTTGCTCCTTGATTTGAAAGGGATTGTACCCAAGACGCGTGAATCTTCATCATCATGTTTGTTTTTGAGCGCGTATTCAAATTTCTCTATCGGAAAATGAGGATTTTATGCATTCTATTCATGCAGTAATTGACTTTTAAATATAAGTATTTCTTTCGTGTTGTGATTCAGCGGCTGTGTCAATTGATATTTCCGATGACTCCAATTAGTATATAAATCATTGTAACATAATATAACATGCAGTCGTCTAAATTCAACGTGTTTTATTGGCCTATTTTTAATTGAGTCAGGAAATTTTGCTGAACCCTGAAAAGGCAGGGAATAACCAGAGAATTTTGCCGCGGTACCTTGAAATTTTGACTTTCGGCCAACATATTGCAGTCTTCCTAATTTAAGAGACTTCGAGCTCAAAATTTTTTGTGAAAGTTTTTTTTTTTTTTTTAGAAATCATGCCAAAATAAAGAAGAAAAAGAATAATCATCGAAAATTCAAGGGAGGTTGAAAGCCAGCAAAACTTGTCACCGTGTATTATCGTTCATAGTGATTTCGCAACAAAATAGCGTTCATTTTGAGACTGACGTCACAATGAGTAGGTCTACTTTAACGTCATGACCACAAGCGCCTACTGTGACGTCTCGGCTCTCGTCAAGATTATTTATTAGGGGTGACCCCTTTTTCGGAAACTTCATACGGAGTTGATAAGTAGCCCTAAAATAGTGTTTATAGTGACGTCACGACTAGAAGAATAGTCATGACGTCAAGATTACAAGCGTGCTCTGTGACGTCTCAAGTGAGAGGTTAGCCGGCCAGGTTGGCCTAGTGGTTAGCGCGTCTGACTCTAGGTCAATAGGTCCCGGGTTCGAATCCCGGTGGTGGCGACAAATTTTCATGGAACTGACGAGTGGATCTGCAGAAACAGATTCCACCCGGCCTTAATCCCTGAAAATTTGAAAG